CTCCAGCATCCATGTAAAGACACTTGACCCGTGCGCAGGTTATCGCTATTCTTGACAATAAGCAAACAGTATTTGATACACAACTTTGTCTTTCGTCGTTTTCAGTGTTTCTACCTTCCCTTACCTTTCACCCACCCGCGTGTGCGTGTGTGTGTGTATGTGTATGTGTGTGTGGGTTTCACCTTTGCTCTTGGGCCCACCCTGAAGCCAATATATATGCGCTCCCTCCGCCCTTCCGCGCTGGGCATTGCACCCCTCTCACAACCTCAGGGAGGTGGTGCGGCCGCACCGGTGCGCGTCTACGCCAGCGAGAGTAGTTCCTTGAGACTCTTCTTGTTAACCTTCCCCATGGAATTCCGCGGGATCTCAGGCATAAGTATGAAGCGCTCCGGGCACTTGTAGTGCGAAAGCAGGCCACGCGCTACGCCCTTGAGCTCCGCATTGAGTTCGGGTGACTCAAAGAGGTGAAACTCGGGGGGAATGCCCCACTTCTGCAGCGCGGCTGCATGAGGCGCGATAACCGCCACCACCTTCTCCCCCAACGTGTCGTCCTTGCAGCCCACGACGGCGACCTCAAAGAAAAGGTCTTTGCGGGAGAGCAACGCGGCCTCAATTTCCAACGCAGAAAGTTTATACCCACGAGACTTTATGATGTCCGTGCTAGAGCGGCCAAGAATGGTGAAGACGGCATCCTCATTTTCGTTTTGAGGCTCTCGTACACCGACGGTGTCGCCGGTGTCGAAGTAGCGGCGACCCGCTTGGCTCACAACGAGTTCCTTTTTGGTCGCCTCGGGGTTTCCCCAGTAGCGGTCAAACAAGGACTTCGAGGCGATGGCGAGCTGGCCAATCTCGTCATAATGCCCCTGGGTCCCTTTTCCGCCCGCCGCCCCACCCACCTCCTCCCGCTCCTCGGCGGCGGAGGCAGCAGAGGTGCCATGCACAAAGGCCCGCACCTTCGGCAGCGGCGAGCCCACGGTGCCAGGGATGCGCTTCTCTATGGGCCGAAGCGGTTGGCTCAGCGCCATCCCAATCTCCGTCATGCCATAGCGCTCTAGCAGGGTGTGCCCACTGATCTCACGGAATGCGTGGAGGGTCGGCACTGGGAGCGACGCACTTCCAGACACCATGAGACGCACATTCTGCGATACGGCATTTTTGAACCCCGCCTGCTCAATTGGCGACATCTTTTGTTTGACTGCGGCAATCAGCTTGGTGTAAAGAGTAGGGACCCCCATCACCAGCGTGATGTCCCCGCGCTCAATTCTACGGGCAATACGAAGCGGGTCATCAAACTTCGTCAAAACACACCGCGCATTGGAGGCCAAGGAACACAGCAGAATATTCACAAGTCCATGTATGTGGTAGATCGGCAGCATGTTGAGAATCGTGTCCGTGGAGGACCACTCCCACGCCTTGCGCAGCACCCCCACCATGTGTTGGAGACTCGCATGAGTATGAACGGCACCCTTGGGTTTCGCTGTCGTGCCGGAGGTGTAGATCATCACACAGTCGTCGTGTTTGCTTGGTCGGGCGGCGCACTCCTCCGCCCAAAGACGATGGACGACGTTAAGCGAGTCCATGTGGTCGGTGTCGTAAAATAGGCCGGTGCCGTCCCCGGCGTCGGTGACGGCGCAGTGCGCCTTGAACTGCTCCCGTATCATGTATTGACGCCATGCCTCACGGCGCTCCTCCTCCGCCGCCTTCTCGCCTGAGAGTCGGTCCATGACGCTTTGCGCGTCCTTTAGCTGCTGACGCTCCTCCTCGGAGAGCAAGTGCTCCGGCAGTATTACCTTGGTTGCAGCCTCGGAATACTCTCGCTTTTCCTGAATTTTCTTAAGCAGTTTCTGCGCATCAAAGAGCGTTTCTACGTCGTACGTGCTCGGGGAGGAGGGAGCCGTCATTGGGTTGTGCAGACTGCTGAAGCTGCGCACTAGAAGTGCGTCGTACTGTCGTGGAAATTTTTCCTTCAACAGGGCCGTGTTCCCCATCACTGCTCTGCTTCTGCTGTGCTCCAGAATGTACGACAACTCCGTCGCGTAATTCTGGAAGACGGAGAGCGGGACGGCCATTTGGTTCAGCGACCAGGCCGCCAGCAGCGACACCACAAAGGTGTACCCCGTGTCACCGATGATCGCCATGTTGTACTGTCCGTCGTCCTTCATGAAGTCGCAACTCAGCACCCCGCCGTCGCCGTCGGCAAAGACGCTTCGCACGTTGGCGGGCCGTGGATGCTGCAGCCAACTCATCGACGGCTTCCCATGGGCCGCCGTCATCGCCTCTCTTCGCTCGGTGATGACGTTTGACATGGAGAGCACGTCCTTCTGCAGCTGCCCGTACGTGTAGCGCTCCGTCCGCTCCCCCGGCAGCTCCACCACGATCGCCTCCTGCTTCACCGGCGCCGCAAAGACGCTCTGCAGGATCGAGTTGTAGCCGAAGAGGGTGGCGAAGGGGACCTTGTCCAGCCGCCGCCGGGCAGCACGAAACATTGCGTCTTCGTTCGCCGCGGCAGTATGCCCTTAAGACGGGTGTAAATATATATTTGCCGATTTAAGTGTAACTTCCCTCCCTAGCGCCGTGGTGTTGATCCGCCTTCTATCCGTCGCTCTCTTCCGCCGCTCGGTGCGGGAGGGAGAGGCGCCGCCGCACACAACACACACACACACAAAAGAGAAACAAAAAAACAACAACAAAAGGCAAGCCATTAAAGAAAATAAGTGGGGAGAGTTGTTGGAGAGGGACGGGCCCGCGCGTTTACCGCCCGGCCACACACACGCGTCCCGGCGAGGCAGGCAGAGAGGGAAGCGAGACAAGACAAGGCAAAACAAGAAGAGGGCAGGCCAGTGCAACACACACGCGTGCGCGCGGGACACCGCCAACAGCGCGGTGTAACAGAAGAAGAAACCCGCAAGAAAAAAAACCAAACACACACACACACATAAACAAACATACAACAACAACAAAAAAAAGAAGAAGTCCAACAAGCATAGATCGCAAGAGAAAACAAAAACAAAAAACAAACAAACAAACATACACACTGAACATGAGAAATTGAGCCACTTGCAGCTCCTTGGCGGGCCCTCGCATTTCAAGTTTCGCACCCTTGTGTTGTTGCTGTTTCTTCGCTCCGCCTCGTTCCTCCAAGCGGGCCGCCTCAAGTAATCCCAACGCCGACGCAAGGGAACCCACAGGCGCATATACAGACACATCCAACCCACGGGGGAGAGAAGAATAAAAAAAGAACATCAAAGGCAAAGAAAAAGGATTCAATATTGTATATATATATATATCTTTGTATATAATATTTGTATTTCTCTTCCTACGGTTGTTTCATTTCGGTTTGTGGATATCTCCGTCGTCTGCTCCAGTCCTGTGCTGGCTATACATACAGCATAGAGACCTGGCCGAGTGGAGCACATGCGCAGTGACCCTCCTCATTTTCCACAGCACGCAAGGTTCCTCCCTTTATCCCCAAAGACCCAATTCCTTTCGCTTTTTGTTTTTGTTTTGGTTATTATTTCCCCTTCGGCCTTCGCCCTGGTGAAGTCTCCGCTTGCGTGTTTCCCGCGCCCTCCTGCTGCCACGGGCGGCCCACGCGGCAGAACACAGCAACCGCCCCAGCGTACATGCTAGCGGCGTGCGTGTTGTGAGGCATGCCGGTTATGCCACACCCCTGTTTGGCGTCTCCTCTTTGCACTTCTTCTTTCTTCACAGTTCCGCTCGCCCTCCGCCTCGCCTCCTTCCTCAGCCGGTGCCCTCGCCCCCAGACGCACACACACACACGCACTCGTCACATGTCCAGACTCTTTTTTTTTTGAAAAAAAAATTTTCTTTCCCTGTTTGGTGTCACCCGCCCTTCTCCTCTCACTTCTTCACCATAGCCGTGAGTTTCGGCACCGCAACGAAGAGGTCCTCCACGAGGCCGTAGTCCGCAACCTGAAAGAACGGTGCGTCGGCGTCGTTGTTGATGACGGCAATCACCTTGGAGTCCTTCATCCCAGCCACGTGCTGGATAGCCCCGGAGACGCCGCACCCGAGGTAAAAGTTCGGCGCCACCGTCTTTCCCGTCTGCCCAATCTGCATGTCGTTCGGGCAGTAGCCAGCGTCTACAACGGCGCGCGTCGCCCCCACCGCCGCCTTCAGCGGCTCCGCGAGGTCGTTGAGAATTTTGAAGTTCTCCGCGTTCTTCAACCCGCGGCCGCCGACGATGACATTCGCGGCCGTTTGCAGGTCCGGCCTATCCGTCGAGGCGATGGTGTCTTCGATCCACGTGGAGGTTCCCGCGGCCTTCGTGGCCGCCACCTCTTTTGTCTGGGCGCTGCCGCCCTCCAGCGGCGCGCGCTCGAAGCTGGTGCCGCGGATTGTGGCGTACTTCACCGGGTCAGACGTCTTCACCGTGCTGACCACGTTGCCAGCGTACATGAGGCGCACGAACGTGGCCTCGTCCTTGACCTCCGTCACGTCTGTGATGGGCATCGCATCTGCCCTTGCCGCGGCGCGGGGGATGACGTTTTTGCCGAACGCCGAGGTGCCAGCGAAGACGTGCGTGTACCCGTCCTTCACAACGGAGGCAATGAGGGGGGCGTACTCCTCCGGCAGGCCCTTCGCGTAGTGCTCGCCCTCCGCGACGAGGACGTGTTCCACCCCCTTCACTTTGGCGAGAACCGCCGCCGTCGCCGCGGCGTCCTTCCCGGCGACGAGGGCACTGACAGGGCCGACCTTCAGCCCCGCAGTCACGGCGGCGAGCGTGGCGGGGGCGACCTTTCCGCCGTGCATCTCCGCCACGACAAGCACCTTGCCGCCCAGAGCAGAGAGCGTGCGGCGCAGCATCTTTCCTCCCTCCTCCTTTCGCTTATATATATATATATATATATATATTTGCTCTCTCTCTCTCTCTTTTATTTTATTTTTTTTTTGAGAAGTGCCTTACAGAGCTGCTGCTTCGTGAGATGCTGCAACGGACGAACGCGATGCGGTGCGTGAAGGAAGACACTCTTTCCAGGGCGAGGCGGAGAGCAGAAAAACAGGCAGACGGAGAAAAACGCAGAGGCAGATGCGACGCCGGCGCCGGTGCCAAAGGCAACCAGCAGGCGAGGGAAGGAGAGCAAATGTGCACGTCCAGCGGCTCGGCGACACCGAGGAACACCGCAAGGGAGGAAAGCCAAGAAGCGAACAAATCACAGCCATTAAAGGCAAAAAAAAAATAATAAATCACACGCAACACACGCCACTGGTTTTTCACTTTTTTTACACTGCCGATATATGTACACACAAACACCTTAGCGCTGCGGTTCTCTTTCTGCCCGTGTTGCCGCGATGGCGCGTGCTCCGCCGCGGAATTGTCACCAATCGGTGCTGCGGCAGCGAAGCATTCCGCCGGTAAGCAGCAGGCAGGGCGGCAGCTTCGCCGTCATCTCCCTCAGCGCGTCCAACCACGCCTCGGCCTGCCGCCGCAGCTCACCGTCCCCGCCATCGGCGGCGTCCTCGTCACTGCCGTCGCGGCTGCGCATCGTGTGTGTGCACTGCCGCTCTGGCGGAAAGGGGGGCACCCGCGTCATCAGCAGCGCCACCCGCTGCCGCGTCCGCTCCACCTCCGCGCGCACGAGGGCGTTGATGACGCCTGGGCGTGTCTGCGGGTCCGCAAAGCGCCGCGCCATCACCGCGACGTCGCTCACGCCGTAGTGCCCCATCACTTCCTCCAGCGCAATCACGCGCGGAGACGCCACCAGCCGGTGCGCCTTCAACAGCGCGTGAGTTTCCTTCACTTCCTGCGGCACGTCGTCTTTCAGGGCCACCACGGAGACCACACGCACCACCGCGTGCCTCTCCCAAATGCTCGTCAGACGCAGGCAGTGTGCCATGAGAAAGAGGGCGACGTCGTCCTCGTCCGGGAGCCACACATCAATAAACCACTTCCGTTCCTTTCCCTTTTCCTCAATAGCTTCTGTGTCCAGCAGATCCATGTTCCGGGCAATAACAACGTTCATAAAGGCATGCACCGCATCACGTACGATGCAGCAAAACTCTGTCGTGTCACGGTACCCAACAAGGTCCGGTCCCCCGAGCAGCTGGGCATTCTGGCGGTGGAGAATCATCTGCTCAACGAGGCGCTGCTCGTCGTCTTCGTCGGCGTCGGTACGACCAGAGCGAAAGAGGCCCCAGCGAAGGGGACGCGGCGTGCGGTACTTGCGGGTGGGCGTGTTCTGCGTGCGTCCACCTTCGCCGTGCTGACGCTCCCGCGCGGCGTGTTCCACGGCGGAGCTGGGGCCGCGCGGGGGCCTTGCCTCTGAGGTGGCATCCGCCGCTGCCGCCTCCACCAGACGACCGCTCCCACACATGCTCTGCTTCAGCCACTCACTCCAGTCCTCCTCCGGCTCCAACGACTCCTCCTCCCCGCGAGCTGCCTCCCTGACCCCGCAAAAGCTAAGTTCTGGCAGTGTGTGCACCTCCGGCGGAAGCACAAACGAGGAGCAGAACGAACTCGCCTCTTGCGGCGAGAAAAGCCCACTCTGTTCCTCGGCTAACGCTTCAATCCAGTTATCGGCTTGGTGTTCGCCGTGCGGGAACGGCGGGGAAACGCCGACGGCGCGTAAAGATGCCTCATCAGTGTCATCCCGAATAATGTGCCGCCGCCGGTACGAGGCTGAGCCGGAGGTTAACGGGCATCGCCTTGCAACCCCGTGTCGTGCAAGTGCAAGCGGGCTGTTTGGCTGCACTGCGGCCATGCTGTTCGCTGCTGCCGCCTGCTGTGCAGCAGGAGAAGGAATTCGCCGGGAGACGGGAGGAGGTTGTGCTGGATGCCCTTCTCTGCCGTGGCCTTCGCCGCCGCCCTCCTCAGGAATCTGCTCTTCGGCCGACGCACGCGGTGACGACACGTCCACTGCCGTCTTTCTAAAGGCTGCGTAGATGGCGTCAAAGTGGTCCCGCTGCAGCAGCTCATCCATGGAAAGGAGCAGCGTGTTCGGTCGCATGCTGCCCAATCCACAGAGCCGCAGCATACTTTGCACGGCGAAACGGAGGTCCGCGGCAGACATCACCACCGGAAACGCCTTCACGCCGCTCGCCTCAATGAAGTCCATAAGCCACCCCTTCCAGCGAAACACGGACTTCGTGGTGGAGTGAAAGTCCCCGCCAAGGACGAGCCCAACTTCATACAGGCCCCCTTTCTTCATATTGTTCGCAAGGTGGATGAGGTTCAGTGAGCAGAGGGGGTCTGTCACGACGTGAATAATGGAGGGTCGCCAGTGCCGCACGTGCGCCCTGCGCTCATCCAGGCGGAGCAGAAACTTGCGCACGATGTGAAACAGCAGAGGCTGTGAGGCGTCGCCCCAGTACACACGGGCGGGGTCAATGTAGACGTCCGCCAGTACCAACGCCACAAGCAAAAACAGCAGGACCCCAGAGGCCATGAGGGGGTCGATGAAGAACATGAGCGTCAGGGAGGCCAAGGCGCCGGTAAGAGCCGTCAGTGTGTTAAAGAATGAAAACGTCGGTCGAAAACTTGTAAGTCCCACGGCGGACGACAGAAAGACACTGACGTTAAGGGACAAGAATGTGGCAAGAAATATTTGCGTGGTAAAGGCCGAAACAAGGGTGTAGCTGTTCCCAAAAAGGAGAAGGACCTGCGTGGCGGCGTACAAGAGGAGAACGCTCACTTGCGGACGGCAGCGGGCAAGCCACTGAAAGAAGCAAAGTGGCAAAATATCATCCGCAGCGATGGCGTTCAACACACGAGAGGAACCCACCAATCCGGAGAGAACCGCGGCAAAGGAGGCAGTAAATTCACCAGGAATAAAGGCAGGCCAAAAGGAGGCGCGCTCCAGAATGTGGTAGTCGGTTTTGAGGAAGCTCCGCTCAAAGGAGGCGGCCACCACAACGGCGGTCACCAAGTACGTCCCGAGGGAAAGAAACCAGGCGTACATGACGCCTTTGGGGATCGCCTTGGGGCCATTGCGAAGCTCCCCGCTGCCCGCTATACCACACATAAGCCCACAGACGCCAGGGAAGAGGACAAAGAGGGCCTCTTGGAAGTCTGTGCCATCGCTGAATTGCGGCGACCAGTTGTCGCGCAGCGTCTCGCCCGAAACGCCTGTGTAGCCCTCGGCGGGGAGGGGCGTGGTGCGCACAAAGGCCGAAACCACAAAGTTCAGCATCGCCACAAGCGCCAATGCGAAGCAAACCAGCTGGAAGAACCTGTCCAACTTCAGCAGACTCACCAATAAGAGGAAAAGCAGAGTGAGGCTGCTGCCAACGACGGTCACGCTGTACGCCTCTGTGGTGAGCCAGTGGGTGAGGGTGTCATTGCCCAGTGCGGGGGCGACGGCGTTCACGCCTCCCACCAGGTACATGGCGGAGGCCAGTGTGTTGGCCAACACCAGCGCCGTGCCAATCGTCACGCCCAGCTGCGGCCCAAGGCAGCGGGAGATCATCATGTACGCCCCCCCGTCACCCACGTAGCCATTAGTGCTAATGGCCGCCAGGCTGCAGGTCACAAGTAGCGTGACAAAAAAGGAAAGCGCAATGCCCACAAAAGACAACCAAAGCCCACACTCACCAATGACCCACGGCAAACGAAAGAACAACACCACACCAAAAATAGAGACCGACACTGGAAGAAAGACCCCATCCCATGTCCGCTTTGTCCGCCTCTTCACCAGAAGGATGGAGTCATTGTGGGTCACACCCACGGGCAAGTTATCGGCGCCGACGTATGTGGTTTCGAGTGTCGCAGGTCTTTGCCAACTCCGCGCCACACGCGCCATTGCCGTCCTGTTGTAGCTGCCGAAACCCTCGTACTCGGTAGATGCATGAGGTCCGTCAGGGAGACCGGCCGCAGCACATCCCACAGTGTAGGAGGAGGAAAGATAGGATGACTTGGTCATTCGCCTCCCTTCTCTTGCACTCCACCGCGCCTTGGGTACGCTACTTCTTCCCTACTCGCACGCAAGCGTCGTCTTCTCCCACCGGTTGTTCTAGTCTCTTGGAAAAAAAAATAATAGCAATAGTGCAGAACACAAAGACGCACAAATAATCGAGGGAAAAGTTCAAACAAACGAACAGTGCCCAATGAGAAACCCCGAGGGGTACGATCTCCCCCCGTCAACAGTGCACCCGCCAAAATATGGAAGCATGCAGCGCATGCAGACAGCTAAAACACGGTAGGGACATGCAGGGAGGGGCCATTACCGTACGAAAAACACGCTCTTGGGAAAGACGCGCAGAAGAACTTCCACCGCCCTTTTTTTTCTTCCTTTTTTTATGGATACATCTCGTCAATGAAAATTACATCTCAGTTGGGGGGGGAAAAAAAAATGTCGGATTGGAGAAGGAGGAGCAGGAGATGGTGGTGGAAGAGGGTGGAATGAGGAAACGGAAAGTTGCACAGGCAGAGACGCCTAGAAAACGAAAAAAAAAAAAAGTTGCATCTGGGAGAGTTCACCACCACGGACATCAATTATACCAATGAGGAAAGTAGCAAAAAAAAAACCGTAATAAACATGAAAGATGCAGCCGGCAAGAAGGAGTAAGTAAAGGCAAGTGTCCTTTTTGGCGTCGTCCCTTTTTTTTTTTTAAATTCTCCCTCTCTCTCTCTTTTTCTTCTCTACATGGTTGCCCCGCCCCGCATGTGTCTATGCTACTGAGCTCGCCGAAAAACAAATGGGGATCTGTACATACAAATGTATGTGCAAGAGGTTTCCTCAAAAGATGCATGGAGTCGTTTTTATTTTTCATTTTCGTTCGTTCGTTCGTCTGCCTCTTCATTGTGTGCCGCACATTTTCACTGAAGTGAGCTTCTTCACCGTGGACCCGCGCTGGCGCACAGTTTCACTCTTCCTAGCCGAGCCGTGCATGTCCTGCACCGTTCCACCCCCCTCCCTCTTTTGTGCTCCTCCCCGCTCGCTCCTGTTCCCCGCACCGCCCCCGTCATCATCATCTGCAGTCGCCCCCGCACCTTCTTTCTATTTCTTTTGCCTTTTTTTCTTTTTTGCTTTTCGTCTCTGGCTGCCGGCTCCCGCTACTCTGTCGCCGCAGTCTCTATTTTTGCAGCACCGCAGTCCCCTTCACATCGGACGATGCCTTTGTTTTTTTTTCCCCGCCCTCCCTCCCCCTTTCTTTTTCTTTCTTTTTTCTTCTCGGCTCCTGCTCGGTGCTTCGCCGCGCCCCAGCGGCGCTACAGCGTGGGGATGTCGAGGTCGTCGACGGACCAAATCATGATCGCCCCCTCGTCCCCCACCGAGACGATCTTCTTGTCGTCCGGCGAGATGCGCACCTTCTGGATGTTGCAGCTGTGCGCCAGCCCCACGGCGACGCAGACGCCCTGGTCGTAGCTCCACACCTTCACGATGCGGTCGTTTCCCCCCGTGACGAAGAAGCGGCCATCGGCGGAGATGGAGAGACTATTCAACTCGCCCGTCTTGCTGCCGGGGATCTCGCGGATGGCCCCACAGTCAACAATGTCCCACCACGTGATCGTCTTGTTCGTTCCCGTCGTCAGCAGCTGGCTTTCGTCTACGAAGTACTCCACAGCTCGAAACCGCGTCTGGGAGTAGATGACGTCGCGACGCACATGCCGCACCAGGTCCCAGATAATGCAGCTGCCATCGTCACTGGCACTGACGCACTCCATGTTGTTCTTTGAAATACACACGGCGTTCACCGTGGCCTTGTGCTCCTTCATGGAGGCCTCCAGCGCGCAGGTGTTGCCTTGCACCTGCCAGAACCGGACAAGGCCGTCCGCCCCACCCGAAACGAGGCGTTGCGAGGTGCTGTCAACGCACACCGCAGTCACCCCACCGGCACTGCCACTCGTGCTTTTGATGCCGTCTCGCTTGTGCGCATCGTTGACGGCAAACACCAACTTGCCGGATTGTGGACCGAAGGCGCGCAGCTTCCCATCGTCCCAGCCAGAGACTATCATAGAGCCATCCTTTGTAAACTGAACACAGTTGCATTGGAGCCCAGTAATTTGAATCCGCAGGAGCTCGTTGGAGGTGGTTGCGTTCCATACTCTAATGTCGGGTCCACAGCATGTTGCGAAGAGGGCACTGAAACCCTCTGGAAAGACAACATCGTTCACAGTGTCGCTGTGACATGTCAGTCGCAGCTCCGCGTTAAAGTTCCCGCTCTCCACGAGGTGCACGTTGCTCTCCATGGTCCCCACAATGTAGCCCTGCGGGACCATCGCAAGCCCCGTGACGCCTCCCCCCACGTTTACCGACTTCAGCACCGTCAGGTTAATCTTTGAGAGCAGCGCCACCTCTCCGGCGCCGCTGCCCACCAGAACGTCACCGGACCGCACGAGAATCATGGAGGTAATGCCGCCTGACAACTTCTTCTGGGGACCACTCATTTTGTAGGCATTGGCATTTCGCTCCAGCAGCACACACAGGACGTCGCCGCTGGTGGTGCCGCAGTAGGCGTAGCGGTCCGTCTCCTCCACGGCAATGGTCGTGATGCATCGACGGACGTTGCCCATGTTGATGTCATCTGGGCTCATCTTGCGATCCACTGGGTCAATGGTCCAGACCCGCAGCGACCCCACGCCACCCGTAATGAGCTTTTCAGAGTTGCCGTTGAAGAAGGCCACTGTCTTCGACTCTGTGTGGTGGGCCGGGGCACCGCAGAGGGGGCGGCCGGTGGAAACATCCCACACCACCACCGCCTTGTCGTCGATGCCGCCAATAGAAACAAGATATTTCTCATCCTTTGAAAAGGCAAGCGCCTGCACCTTTACCTTGTGGAGGAGCATGCGGTGCACCATGCGGCGTTCCTCAAAGTCGAAAATGCAGACATCCGCCTGAAACCCCGCATGCGTCACCTGTCCCGAGGCAATGAGACGCCCGCTCGAGCTCACGGCGATACAGCTGATCTTGTCATTGTGCCCGTAGAGAAAACTGGAGGCGGAGCGGTCGTTTATTTTCTGAATCACAATACATGCACCTAATGCATACACGAGGTGTTCTGCGTCCGGGTGGGCAATGATGCTGTTTGGAATGCGACCCCCAAAACCAATGACAGACTCAAGTGTCAACCGTGCGGTTTTCTCATACTCCTTCTCCGCCATGTCGACAAAAAGGGCCCTGCTTTTTGTTGTTGCTGGTGTTTGTGTGTTTTGTCGGTCTGCAGCTCTGCCGTGATGTGCGTCGCGGTCGCCCGGGTGTGCACAAGAAACAACTGCCTCCCTTTGTGTGTGTGTGTGTGTGTGTGTGTGCTTTTTTTCTTCTTTCCTTTCCTTATTTTTTTTGTTCGTTTCCTCCTCCACCGCAGTTGCGCGTCCTGATCTCGTTCCCTCACTTTGTTTTTTTTGTTGTTGTTGTTTTCCTTTTTGCTTTTGGTTTTGCCTTTGCAATGACTCCTGCGGAGGAAAACGGGGAGAGGGAAGCACGTCGCGAGACAAACAAACAAAGAAGACACGCTACCGTTTTCGCCGGCACACGCACACACACACACGCGCACGAATGGCAAGCAAAGCAAAGCAAAGCAAACAAAACTGTCGCACCACGGTTCAGTGCGGCACTAAAGGTGCAGCCACCGCCTCCGCCGCAATTCCGCCGCCACACGGCGCACAATCTCCGCAGGCTCCAGCGCCACGGAGACGCGCATCCCAAGCTCATCCTTCTCCAGCTGCAGCGGCTCAAACGAGGCGTACTGAGAGGAGAGCAGACTGGCCGGCATGTACGCGTGGCGTCGCCGGTGGATGCGCCGAGCAACGAGGCCGGCGTCGCCGACAAGCTCGACAAAAAAGACAATGACGCGTCCGCCGTCGCCCGAGTTGTCTGCGCGCAGCAGGTCCCTGTACAACCTTCGCAGCGCGGAACACGCGAGCACGACGCCGCTGCCCGCCTCCGCTGCGACACCTTCGATGACTTCCGTGCGCAGCCGTCGCAGCCACGGCAGGCGGTCCTCATCCGTCAGCGGCGCGCCTGCCGCCATCTTTCGCACGTTGCTGGCGGGGTGGTAGTCGTCGCCCTCCACAAACCGCCAGCCCATCTCCTGGGCGAGGCGGGGGCCAATTGTGCTCTTCCCCGTGCCCGAGGGGCCCATGACGACCACGGCCAGCGGCACAGACGAGGGGTGCAGCAGCGGGGGGGCAAGCGCCATGCCCGCCACCTGTTGCTTCGCTTCGTCGCCCAGCCCTCTGCTTCCTCTGACGCCCCCCGCACATGCGCCGCGGGGCAGCCGCCACCGCAGCAATTAGCAAGACAGGGAAGCAAAGTCACACACACACACACACAGACACACATATAAATATATATATATATATAAAGAAGGATTCACAAACAGTACAAAAGCCAAAGAAAAAAACGAAAAACAAAAGCAAAGGCACCAAGACGTGCGTTTGCGCCTGCAAAGCGAGTGAAAGACGCCAAGCAGAGTGAAAGAGTCTCACAACGATCTGAAACAAGAATGACAAAAAAAAAGCAGCAAGAAGAAAGAAGGGAAGTTGAGAAAATACGTGTGGTTATTTGCTTGTATGGCCCTGCGCATACCTTAAAACTGCCAATAGGGCAGGGGAAAAAAGGCAATGCACGAGCTATATATCCTCATCCACATACAAAATTGCGCGCCTGCGCTGCCGACATTCCCAATCGTCACCGCCTGTACGCTCTCCTCCGGGCTCACAGTTGCGGTTTGTCAAGCGGTGCTTCTGGCTCCCAAGATAAGGTGCTCAAGACGCAAGACCCTTAAATCTAAGAAGTAGCCCAGAGGCACAAACAACGGAGGCTCCGGCTGCGCAAAAAAGGACACAATTGCATCCACGGCGGCATCGAACTCCGAGGTATTGTTTGCGTGGCTTACCGCCTTTTTATTTGCGGCGACGCCGGCGCGACCGGGCGCCTCAGTGAGGGGGCAGGATGTGGCGTGGGTGATCGACGTTCTCTGGGAGGCGGGCTGCAGCTTCAGGGCGGCGTTCAGGAGCGGCGTCAGCGCACTGAGATCCTTGTTCTCCACACGGCGAATGTACGCCGCATCGCGACGGAGGTCCGCCTCAGCACCGTTAAGCACGCACGCCAGCGGTGAAGTGAAGAGGTCCACCGTTTTCGACACAAGCGTGAGAGTGCCCGGGCATCCCAGTTCGTCAAAGTGGCTGCCTCTTGTAAAGTACCCAAACGTTGGCAGCGCAATGATCTGACGCAGGCCTATGTTGCACACCACACTGCTCTCCTCAACGCGCAGGAAAATCACGTGACACGAAACGTCGGTTGTAAGCGACGTATAGAGAAGCGGGGCAGGCGGCCACGGGAGCTGACCCTGGACATCCTCCGCATTCTTCTCTCCTGCATAACTCTTGCCAGCCTGGATGAGGGGAGGCTTTGCTTCGGGCACGGCTGCGGCGGCAAAAAGCAAATATGCCAGGAGCGTGTACTGGTCGTAGCCCACAAGAGGGGTGGAGCGCGGGGTATCGCCAAGCACGCGCGGGTTAAGTTCGATTAGAAAAGGCATCCCCCGCGTGCCGCTGTCAGGACGACTATCGACACGAAGCTCACAGTGTGAGCACCCCTGGCGCATGCCGAGAGCATCAAGACACTGCAGGGTGTACGCCACAACGCGTCGCACCTCGCTCTCCGCGTCCAGCTCTGCCAAATTGTGCACAAACTCGATACGATCATACATAATTGCTGTACTGTTATGCCTAGCAGGAAGCCGGCCACGCCCCGTAGCTTTAAACTCAGCCATCAGTCGCTCCTCCACAGAGTAAAGAAGACGCGTGCTGTACAGCGTCAATGGATACTTCCAACTTTGCCAGACGTCGGAGACGACGTGTTTGCCCTCGTAACTCACAACGTTAACAACGTACTCGGGACCCTCGATGTACTCCTGCAGCACCATATGCGATGCCTCTGTCATTTGGGTCGTCTTCACTCCACATGTGAGGGCAAACGCCACATCGATTTCCTCATCGGTGTAGCAGACAGTCACCAGCTCAGATCCTGCGCCACTTACAGGTTTAATAACCACAGGAAATGGAATTCCATGCTGCTGCTTCCAGCGCTTCGCATCCGCGGCGCTAAACCCGGCAGAGCCTCGAATGTGCGTCAGACCATGGGCTTTTAACGCCAGTTGCATACCCGCCTTATCTTGTCGTTGTGTGACGGAGGTGCGTGGATCGTTCCCAAGAAGAATTCGGGTACGACGCGGCGGGGATTGTAAGGCGTTTGGGCCACTTCGTGCCCCCCTTGTCGTGTCGCCTCCGCCGCGAGCCAAGGACTCAATTATTATCCCATGCCAGTCACCGCCCACCGCAGACAGCCCTCGCGGAACCGAGGGACGGTGCGGCTGCATCCCACCAAAGTGTCTGGCGTGCAAGTAGTCCACAAGCGGAACAAGACCATCCACAATTGTGGTGAATGCCAGAATGTCCGCGTATCCATCCGCAAGAATTTGCTTTTGATAGTAGCTCTCGTAGAGGTCACGGTTGGACCTCACCTCAGCTGCCACGTCGAGGAAGAAGATTTCGACGTCGGGGCCGAGGTTGATGCGCGTTGCCACGGCGCCCCAGGTCAGCGCCGGGTAGCCGCTGCTGGGTTCGTCAAGGTGCTCCCTGCGAAAGCACGGCAGCCGGGTCTTTTCTACCGGCTTCATGGACCGACACACCTTGCCCAGGTACTCCCCTTGCCGGCAGGAGACGTCGAGCGCTATCAGCGACGGCCGGCGCCTGCGCTGCAGCTCCTGCACACAGCCCTCGACGTCTGGCCCGCAGCGAATAGCAAGTCGAAGTGCCGTTTCCTCGGAGCAGCCGAGCCTTCGCAGTGCCTGAAGCGGCAGCTGACTCAGGTCACCTTGCGCCCCCTCCGCGGCTGTGTACATTTTTGGCTTTGCTTGCGACGAACTCAATGGCCGGCTCCCAACAACGTTCTGCCAGAGCCTCACGGCGGGCGTGAGTACACTCGCCGGCAACAACGCAGTGGGCAGAGCAAGCCGGCGCCAAGAGGAGAGGGCACAAAAAAAAACGAAGAAAAAAGGAAATAAAAGCACAAGAAAACACGCAGCCAGGCCGCCCAAACGATTGGCCACCGCGTCCCCCATACCCTTTAGGCGTGGTGGGTGGCCGTGCCTTCCGCCTCCCCTCCACACACACATGCGCAGAGGGCAAGCGGGGGAGGACACTCACAGCACGACGGACTGACCGCAGTGGCCATACGGCGCAGTGCCCATTCACAATAGTGTACAGGACAACCGAGAGAAAGCACGGAAACGATAAATGTGATCGACAACCAAATGAGCTCATGGAAGTACAATTACACACAAACACACCCCTTTTCTCTCTTTTTTTATTTTGCTTTCAAAACTGGTGGGGGTTTTAGGGCAAGAGCAGATGCATCTCTAAAGCCGCTCCTGCTCGAGTTGACGCCGCAGACGGCGAAGCTCGCGCGCCTCCTCCTGCCTGGACGCCGATTGCAGGAGCCAATCAAGAGAGCCATCGGAGCACGGAGCAGAGAAATACTCACGCCTTCCAGCCTTTCCAGCACCCCGCCAGGACGGAAAGCACGACGGTGAAAGGCGGGGTTGCTGCCGGGGCTCACCTCCACGGCCCGTCAAGGCGCGATCCCCCAATGGTCCGTGCAGTGGCGCCGCGGCGAGGGTGGGGGAGCCGAAGGGGCCCGCTGCCGCGTCATGGGGGGCGGTGCAGGCGCCACCAGACGCCGTGAGGAACCCCGCACGAGGCAAACGCCGTGCGAAGCAGCTTTGTTGCAGCAGCGCCTCTGCGCAGGCGTGGCGATCCGCGGGGCGCTGAAACGAGAGCAGCTCCATCCAGTTCCCGTAGTGTGCACTGGTGGTCATGGCGCAGTCCTCCGCCTTCACCTTCTCTGTCCTCCACCCTGCCGTGTAGCGACAAGGCGAAGAAAAACAGAATAAAAAAGACATCAAAGAAAAAAGAAAAAAAAAAAAAGAAAAAAACAACGACGGTTCTCCAGGCAGTCTCTCGTGCAGCCCACACTGTGCACTCCTTTTTTAAAATTTTTATTTGTCTTCAGCTCATCCCTTGCCTCCTCCTCTTCGTGTTACAAGGACCACAACCCGAGGGGACAGCCGCTTCCCCACCCTCCATCGCCTTCATGCTCGTTTGTGTTCTCCCGGGCAGAAGCAGCGCAAGATTACACGGACAAAGACACATTAAAAAGACCCCCTCTTTCTTTTTCGTTTTTCTCACTCTTTTTTTTTTGTATGTGTGTGTGTGTGTGTGTGTTTTCTTTTTCGTTTTGTTTTTGGCGGGTGGCTCTGCCATTCCTCTTTAAGTTTGTACAATTCTAGCAACGACCCACGCCGTCGCATACACGCCTCCTCTAAACCTTTCCGGTAACTTTACAAGTAGCGCCCCTGGAGCCCCCCACAAAGACACATGCGCCGGGCACAACGCCCCCCCCCCCCCCCCGGCCCCCCGGCCCCCGCCTCCGCCACGCGCAGCAGCAGCTGCCACGCCGGCCGCCACCAACGACTAACGCCTGGCACCAACCACGAAGCAAAAAAAAAAAAACTAGTGGGCGTGGAGACCGGGGGATCTAAATGGTAAAAACAACATGTTTCTCCTTTAGTGCTGGCAACTTTGTGTGTGAAAGCGGCTTTGCCGCATACTTTTGCGTCTCCTGTTGAGGTACATCGTCGCTTATAATCTCGTCGTTAAAGTAAAACATGTCGTCCTCTTCCTCACCCATGTTCTCCTCCTCTGCACGGCGCATTGCGCTGATAGTAACAGGCGTCCGCACCCCCCGCCGCGCTTGCGCTGCTACTACCGTAGTGCTGGCTGAGGGGGCGGCAGGAGGTGGCTCAAGCGTACTTGGTGTGGCGGCAGCCTTGCCTCCTTTCACAGTGGACGCCAAAGACGACGACGGTTGCAGTGGGAAGACAGAGGAGAACGACTCCGTCTCCTCGTACTGTGCACGCTCGTCCGCACTCATGCTCATCCATATCCTGCGCACGCGTTTGAGGAAGGCGTGGTTGCTGCAGGCCTTCCCCGTCATCACAAGACCGTGGCGATGGCATTGCTTGTAGTAAAAGCGACGGAACGCCGTGCTGGAGCGACGTGGCGCAGAGATGGGGGCATAGAAACAAAAGTTAAGTGCCGCCTTCTGCAGATCCGACAGCTCCGACCAGCGCTCCATCGATTGCTCTCGGCTCATGCCGTAGTCCCGAGAACAGTAGCGAATGTAGAGGTGTGCCCCGCTGACGGGGTGCATCTCATTGTGCGTCCCAAAGCAGTAGTATTTCGTCCTTACCTCCTTCGCAAGCGTGAACCAGCTTGGCACCTCGTCCTTTGAGCGCCGCAGCGTCGCCTCAGCCGAGCCCCCGCAGCGAATGACATACTTGTAGTACTCCTCGTTGTAATAGGTGATCGCAGGACTCGTCATGGAGCGCACCTCCTTTAGCGCCGTGACACCGCACATCAACTTTGACCCAAAGAGACGCTCGCGCTCGTACTCGTGGCGCAGCGCCTCGCGCTTGCTTTCCGCCTCCTCCACCAAGGCCTCCTTCTCCTTCGGTGTTAGCTTCTCATACGCCTGCATCACGTTGGAGCGCTGAAACGCCGTCAACTCCGCTATTATGTCACGCACCTCCATTTGCGTGCCACGTTCCACGAGTTCCTCGTCGCGAACAGGCCCCTGGCGCAGCGACCACGTCCGCAGAGGAGGACAGACGTCAAAATTGTTTCGATTCAGCATCAAAAACGCCTGCAATGGCCTGTGGGACTCGAGACACTTCTTCCCCGTGCAGAAGGAACGCAGGTATTGCTCTACGAAGTGGTGGTGGTACACGTTGATTGTAATTCGCCCCGTTTCGTCCGTGTAGCGCGCCCACTCCTCCGCCGTCGGCGGCAGCGTGCCTGTGCCCTCGATCAGCTCCAGCAGGTGGCCGCGGTGCTCGGGCTTCAAGATGGCATCCTCAACGAGGTGGAGGATGCGGCGGTGGACGCAGCCAGGGGCCTTCCGCATCCCGTGGAACCCGTTCGCCGAGGAGTTCTCCGCCTTATTCTTGAAAAACACGTACTGCTTCACATTCTCGGGGAAGTAGCGGATCTCCTTCTCAATGGATTGGTTAATCGCCTCGCGGAACCGAACGCGGCGGTGAAAAAAAACGTCGTCACGCATACGGATCGCGCGGCGGCTGCGCAGCCCCTTTTCGGTCTCCACGAGGCGCTTGCTGTTGAGAAAGTTGTACTTCTTGCGGCCGCTCCTGGCGGCGCCGCGGGAGGAGCCGGGCGACGGGTACGAGGCGACGGCACGCGCCGAGCAGCGCCCCGCCGGATCGCCGAGAGACGGCAGCGCCACGAGGCAACGAAGACCCGCAAAGACGCGTCGCATCATGTGGGCAAATAACCTCCTTCTGCTCCCTGAATGTTTTTTTTCTTTTTTTCTTTTTTCCTTTTTCTCTTTTTCCTCTGTGGGTGTGGGTTCCACCGGCTTGCTCCCCGCGACGGACAGTGGCGCGGCCGCGGTTTATTTCAACCGGAGTCGTTTAGTTGTGAGCCGCAAACGTGCAGGCGGGCTGCGTTGAATAAAACGCAAAGACACGTGAGCTGCAAGAAAAAAGCAAAGAAAACGGAAATACAGGAAGGTGGCGGTTGGACGGCTGGTTGCGAACCCCTAGACCACGTCTCCCTTCCCTTCCTCGCCTCCTTCCTTCCTTCTGAAGCCCTGCAAGAGGAAAAGAAGAACGACGGAGATGACACACGCACACAGGCGTCAGAGAGGAGAAAAGCAACGATGATAACAGCTGGACACGCCTACCGCGCATACAAACTCCTCAAAGGCACACAAAAAAAACTGGCACAGCCAAACAAAAATTGAAGGAGCAATACTCGGGAACCACATACATGCACCAGCCGAAGGCCAATGCGGAACCACATAAACTACTCAGTTTATATGGAAACCGCCACCTTTCTTGGCCTCCCGCGCCGCCGGACTGGAGGAAGGACTCCGCAGGCGCCTCAGGCTCCGCTGGCTCCTCGGAACCCGTCCACTCTTCGCGCTGCCCGGCTGCAGAGGTGGACTCCTCAAGCGCCTCGGGCTCCGCCGGCGCCGCCTTTCTCGGCCTCCCGCGCCGCCGGACTGGAGGAAGAGACTCCGCAGGCGCCTCAGGTTCCGCTGGCTCCTCGGAACCCGTCCACTCTTCGCGCTGCCCGGCTGCAGAGGTGGACTCCTCAAGCGCCTCGG